ATTAGTCCAACACGTCTCATCGAACACTCGCGAATCATTAGAGTGACCATCTAGAATATGTCAATTTGCAGTTGCTAACGAGAACTGGTCCCCAAGCTTTGTTGCTCACCATTGATAGCTGCACAGCTGCTTGTCAATACCACCTTCTTCACTGAAGGTGTCATAGAAGCCGCACGCAGAACGAATAAGGTACCATCTACTGCTGTCTTGATGGTGGACTCATCGGCGACTATTGGCCAAGGAGATGCGACATGGAGGATGTAGGTACAACCTTTCACAGCTGCTGGCCAATCATGCTCATTTAGTAGATCTGCCTCGATGAGCTCTAGACGTTCATCCGCATAGGGTAGTCGGAGCAGGGGAGCCACCTTGAAGGAATTGGGTAAAATGTAGGTGATAACAACATAGCTCAAAAAACTCAACAGTTCAAAGAAAATTTATGTGAGGACAGTGTGTTGATAAATATATTAAGAAAATCTGTTAGAAATATGTTGATAGAAATAAATAAAATTTTGTAAATTTGAAATTTGTAGCCCTAACCCAAAAGCTATGAGTAAGGGTTGACTGTTCAAAAAAACTTTATGCCAAATAAACTTTAAGATCGAAGCTGCTAACCTTTCGCATATTCTTCTTGCTCCGAACAGTCCCACGTACCCTATACCCCGCAGCCAGTGCTTGTGCTACGCAATGCGTTGCCACGTAACCCGATGCACCAGTGACGAGCACCACTGAAACAAAAAAAAAGGAATAATTCTACAGTTAGTATTTGTAAAGCCCGCCTACATTGCTTGCCCTTATCCTCTTCATTGATCGTCATACTTATTCGTAGTCGCTGCTAGAATCTGTAATTTAATTCAAATTCGAATTATGAAGTTACAAAGAGAGGAAGGAAGATATGGCATAGAGGTAAAAAAAATTTGTTAAGTAATTTTTCTACTTAACAGATGATTCAAAATTAGGTGGAATCTAATAGAAACAAGTTCTTGATTAAACGAATTTAAAGACGTGGGAGGGTTGCGACCGGCTGTATAAAGCAACTAAAGTATAGTCACTTTAAATGGTGTGCGCTATGTTGTA